CCCGCGCAGCGGGGGGTGGGGGGGGGGGGGGGGGGGGGGGGGGGGGGAGCAGGGAGAGACAGGACAAAGCCCAGGGTAACAAGCCAAGCTCAGAGTGGCACTGGAGTCCCAGGCTGGTGAATTGATCCCAGATGTGCCACCCTTAGAGATAGAAGTTCATGAGGGAGCTAGGGCAGCACAGGAGCTGCAGATGCAGGGAGCAGCTTCCCTCACCTCTTGTCCCAAAGGCAGTGAAAGCTGGTGAGCTCCTTATCATAAGCAAGGCCTGTCCCTGAGGGCACTGGCTTCTCTGCAGCCAGATCCTGGAGTAGGGGTAAAGAAGGACACAGGAGATAGTAAACTCAGACATCCAGTATCTCCCTCCCAACATAATACCCTGCCTCACTGCCCTGTCCAGAGCAGGAGAACCCAGGCAGCTGGGGGCTCCCACCAACCCCCATCCCCCCCACCTCCAAAAGGACTCAGGTGTCCAGGCTCTTCCCCTGCCAAAACCTTGTGGGGACACAGGCCTCCAGTTTCCACCCCCACTCCATGGGGCGCAAGTGTCTAGGCCGTACCAGGTGCTGTAACCCGTCCTGGAGCTCCGCCACCTCTTGATGCAGCCTCCGGGCGCGGCCACGCCGCTTTGCCTCAGGGAGCCCTGGGCTGCGGCGGGGAGGAGGTGGTGCCCGCCTACCAGCCCGGCCCTACAAGGGATGACAAGAGAGACTGCAGAGCTCTGGCCACACTACCTTGGGATAAAACCCACCCCTTCATGCCAGGCCACACCCACACAGCCCGGAAATCCAGCTCCAGTGGTGTCAGGCCACACCCACTCCTGGCTCCCCTCCAGCTCTACCTCCCTGAGAGAACCGAGCACCATCCTTGGCCTCCAAGCCCCGCCCACCTGACCTAGGCCACACCCCATGTCCTTAAGCCCCACCTCCAATTTTCCCTACTCGCAGGCTCCACCCCGTTCTGGCCCCGCTCCCTGAGCACCAAGCTCCTCCCGCAGCCTGTCCCCGCCCCATTCTACTCCACCCTGTCAGTTTCCCCCCATCTTGGCCCCACTTCAGTGTCATAAGCCCCACCCCTCCTGGACCCCGGTACCGGGTTTCAACTCTCCCAGCGTGGTACCCACTCCCCATAACCATATGGGGGGCAAGGGGTGGGGCGGCTACTTTACCGACGGTGCCGGGGCGCTGGGTCCTTCAGGCCCTGGAGAGACCCCAGGGGGCATCGCGGCGGCAAGGCAGGGAGGATTACAAGTAGGCGTGAGAGGCTGCAGGTCGGGGTGGGGGGGAAATGGTTTCACCTGTTCCCCCCCCTTCAGAAAGATGGTCTCTCCCGGGCGCTGCCGGATGGAGTCAGATTGGCCCGCCCTGAGCGAGACCATTCGTACCGCGCGGGGCAGGCGGGGCTGGGCGACACAATTCCCCTGCACATGCGCACTTGGAGGGGTGGGAGAGACCATTCACCACCTCAGTAAAGGGGGAAGGAGACTGGGACTTTCCCAATGCTTGGGTGGGGGCCGGGTGCTACCACGGACACTAGTTGAGGGCAATTAAAGGCAAAGTACCAGTATCTTAAAGAGACAGACTCTTTATTGGGGGGGCTGGGGTGGGGGGAGACCTGGGACCCCATGACCCCTAAAACCCCTGACTCTCGGCACCTGCTTCCCCCCAAGGGTATCACCCATCAAGAGCCCCTCCCCTCGGTGGGGGCGGGACTAGGCAATAGCCTGGGGGTGTAGCCAGGGAGCAGGCCAAAACAGTGACTCCACCCCCTCAGGCTGGGGAATGTACCTTTAGGGGTGGTCCGGCAGGTGGCATTGGGGCAGGATATGGCTCAACCCTTCAATCCCAGGGGTGGGGCTTTACCCACGGCCTCTACCCCCTCAGGGTCAGTGGGTGGGGTCCAGCAGGTGGGGGTCATAGTCAGAATGTAGCTGCACCACTCAGTCCTGGGGGCAGGTTAGGGAGAGGTGCTGGGGCCAGGCTGTGACTCCACCTCTCGGGCCAAAGAGGTAGGGCTGGGTTGGGGGCTGGACCTAGTGGATGTGGGATGGGGCCAGATCACATCCCTGACCCTCAGGCCAGGGAGGGGCCAGGGGTGGGGTAGGCGGTGGGGCCCAGCAGGTGTGGGGTGGGGGAGAAGGGCAGCAGGTGGACCACAGGCCCCAGAGCATAGAGAGCACTAGGGTCTTCGGCCCCTAGGGGGGACTGGGTCAGTAGCTCCAGCGGGGCAGGGCCCTCAGGGCCAGGCAGGGCCCGGACACCTGGCTCTCCACTGCGGCGCTTCTTGCCCTTGGCTGAGACCTTGCGATTCCGTGTCTGGATCCCATCCTTCCGCATGGTCAGTGGCCGGTTCACCTGCAGCAGAGGGGTCATGAAGGGATCCATGCATCCAGGGGCCAAGAGGGATTCAGGTGTCTGGGATCCCAGCCCCCATTCCCCTCCCAGAGTTGGTGAAAGAATCCAGGCGACCAGGACCATGCCCCATCCCTCTGCAATCCCCCCCATCAGGGATGTAAACCCAGGTGCCCTGAGGATGGAACCCAGATATGTGAGTGGTCCCAGGGTGGGAACCCAGGCATTTGGACCTCTCCAGGGATGGAACTCAGGCAGCCCTGGGGTAGGAACCCAGGCATCAGGGTGGCCTTGGAAAAAGGACCCAGGCATCTGGGCCTCTCCAGGGATGGAACCCAGGTACCTGGGCAACGACAGGATGAGAACCTAGGCATTTGGGCCTTCCCAGGAAAAGGACCCAGGCATCCGGGCAGCCCTGGGGTAGGAACTCAGGTGGCCCTGGGGCAAGAATGGGGGGGCACTCACATTGTGGAGCTTGTAGTACAGGCCGCAAGCGTTGCAGACGGGCTGCCCGCGGGGGTCGCGGCGCCACAGTGTTGTGGTCGTGGTCTGGCAGTTGCTGCACTGGGTCCCTGCTCGCTTGCTCACCACCTGGAGGTGGGGGGCAGGGGTCAAGTGGTGGGGGTCACAGGGTCCCCATGGTGTCTGGATGGAGTCCCTAGGGGGTATGGGGATTCCAGGAGGGGTTTGGAGATCCCCGGGGGGCATATGGGAAGCCTGGTGGGGGGTCTCTCACCAGGTGCTTCCGGGGAACAAGTGGTTGGGGGTCCCATGGATGGGTGCATTGGGAGCATCTATGTGGGGGAGAAGAATGGTCCATATTGGGAGTCTGGGGGGGTGGTGTATTGGGAGGGTCCATGCCAAGATCCTTGGGGGGTGGTGTGGAAAGCTCCATGTGGAGGTCCTTGCAGGGGATGTTGGGAGGGTCCATGTTAGGGATCCAACCCTAGGGGGTGAATTAACACAGTTCATGTTGGTGGACAGTCCATGGTGTGGAATGGTCCATGTTGGGGGTCCTAGGCAGAGGCCTGGGAGAGTCCATGTCAGGGTCCTGGGGATGATGTGGATTGGTCAACATATGGATGTTTCAGGGTGGGGGGTTGTTATAGAAGAGTGCATGTGGAGGCCCCTGGGGGATTGGAAGGGTCCATGTTGTGGGTCAGTGGAGGGGGTGAATTAGCAGAGTCCATGTGGAAGGACAGTGTGTGGAATGGTCCATATATTGAGGGTCTGTACGAGAGTACTGGAAGGGTCTGTGTGGGGGGTGTATAGAATGGTCCTAGCTGGGGACCCAGGAGAGTGTATTGGGAAGGTCCCGGGGAGGGTTGTAATGGGAGAGTCTGTGCAGCGGTTGGGAGGGTCCATGTGGCAATCCCTGAGGGACTGTATTGGAAGGGTCCATAGGGGTGTATAATGCTCCATGTTAGGGGTCTGGGGGGAGAACATGGGAGAGTCCACATGGGAGTCACAGGTGGAGTGTATCAGAAGGGTCCATGCGGTGGGGGGGAGGGGTAGAAGGGATGTATTGGAAGGGTCCACAAAGGGATTCTGGAGGGGATCTCTCACCAGACGTTTCTTGGGGCGGATGAGGGGCCGGTTGGCACCGTTGACACGGTGGTACAGCCCGCAGGCATTGCATAGGTAGTGCCCGGTACCATCCCGGCGCCACAGTGGTGTGGCCGTGGCCCCGCAGTTCACGCACTCCCGCGCCTCTGTCAGGGGGAGACATTAGCTAGGGGGTCCCGATCCTGCCCAGCCCCAAGTGCTCTGTGTCCCCTCCATCCCCCTGCCCAGTCTTGGTAAGGGCTTATACCCTCCCCACAACCAAAGGGCCCAATCCTGGGGTGGGAGGCAGAGAAAATCAAGGAGGGTCCTGATCATGGATGTGGGGGAGACAGGGAACCCAATCCTGGGTGCGGGCTGTGTAGCTCCAATTCTGGCTGGGGGCAGGTGGGCCCTGGTCCTAGTCTGAGGGAGCCCTCAATCCTATCTGGGGCAGGAGGGGGGGAGCCCAATCCTGACTCAGGGGGAGTCTGATTCTGGCTTTGGGGAGTCCCAATCCTGGCTGGCATAGGAGCGGAGGTGCCTGATCCTAGCTGAGACTGAGGCAGATGGGGAGAGGGCTCACCACATGATGCCAGGGGCAGGCTGCCCCGGAAGGCAGGGGGGTAGGCGGGGCCAGGGGGTGCCAGGTAGGCCAGGTCAGGGGGGCTGCCATAGCCCCCGCCCAGGCCCAGGCTCAGGGCCAGCCCTAGGGGGTGAGGGAGGGCCAGGGAGGGCCTTGCTGTCGCCCCCTGGGGCCCAGCCCCCCCCAGTGAAGGCTGAGCCCTCCCCCCACGGCAGCGCTCCCAGCACCGGGTACAGCTGGCAGCCTAGGGAAGGAAAAGAGTGAGGGTTAGTGCCACCTGGGGGTGTGCAGCATCATGGCAACCATGATGGGTAGGTGTCATGGCAACTGAGGCTGGAGGCTGTGATGTGTAGATTGGTGTAAGTGCCATGATAACTGGGGGGTGTCATGGCAACTGAAGGAAGCTGGGGGTGGTAGGTTGGTGTGGGTGTCATGGCAATGGCAAAGGGGATTGGGTATTATGGCAACCACAAGAAGGCTGTTATGGCAACTGAGGCAGGAAGCTGGGGTGAATAGGCTGGTGTTTGTGTTATGGCAAAAGAGGCAGGAAACTGGAGCAGTAGGCCAATATAGGTGTCATGGTAAGCCTGGCGGGAATGGGGTGCCATGACAACTGTGGGGGCAGGGCAGGCAGAAGGATGACTAGGGTGGGTGTCATAGGAACCAGGGGCATTGGGCAGTGGGGTTTTGGCACAACAACATGGGCAGGGAAGATAGGCCAGGGTAGATGTCATGGCAACCATGGATGTGGGATGGGGATGGGAACCATGATGGGAAACCATGACAACAGGGTAGATGTCATAGTAACTGAGGAGGTTACCATAGCAACTGTGGTAGGGAAGGTGGGCAGATTGGGATGGGTGTGATTGGAGGGGGGGCATGGCAACCCCCAGGGGTCACAGCAGGTTGGGGGTGGGGAGAACCTGGTAACTATGGCAACCATAGGGATCATGGGGAGGGGCCCAGATGCTTCGGTTGCTCCTGCCCCCCTTCTCCCCATACCTGGTGAGTGGCGGAAGGACTCAGGTGTCCGGGAGAAGAGGGATGCCAGGGCACCAGGGTCAGGGGCCTCAGGGGTGGACAGGAAGGGGGCAGCCTCCTCAGTGGGGGGCAGGGCCGGTGCTTCCAGGAATGAGGGGGACCCCTCAGGGGCCTCCAGCGTGGCGAACTCCATGGGGGAGCCTGCAGGGAGGGGGAAGGGGAAGGGTCAGTGGGTCCAGACACCTGGTTTCCCTCCCTGGGACCCCCTAGGTCCCCACCCTGGGAGTGTCCGAGGGAGCCTGGACACGTGGGTTCCCACCCTGGGGGCTGGTGAGCAGATGGAGGGGATGGGGAGAATATCTGTGTTCCATTTCTGAGGAGGGCTGGGGGGAACTGGATGCCTGGGTTCCCTCCCTGGGGCTGCTGGGATGCCTGGACTCCATATTCGAGGGTGACCAAGGGGGCCTGGACACTTGGGTCCCCTCCCCCAGGGCCACCTGGGTCCTATCTCAGGGAGGTTGAGGGGTTCAGGTGTCTGGGTTCCTTCCCCAGGGCTGCCTGCGTTCCATCTCTGAGCAGGGTTGAGAGGAGGTTGGACACCCAGGTCCTGTGTCTGACATTGTTGGGGGCAGGAAAGGGGGTGCAGACTCCTGGGTCCATCCCTAGGACCACATGGATGCCTGGGACCCATATCTGGGAGGGGGCACAGATGCCTGGGTCTCACTCCTGTTAGGGAGCTAGGTCAGGAGGGGCCCAGATGCCTGCGTTCCACCCTGATGCTGGGAGGGGAGGGGAAGGGAGCTTATGGGGAGGGGTGGAGGGGATGGGAAAGCAGGGCCTGAACACCTGGGTACTCTCCTGGCTCAGGGAGGGCAGCAGGGTTAGGTTGAGGGGCAGCTTGGGTGTCTGGGTTCCACAGCCCTGCTATCTCCGTGCATCACCTTCTCAGAATAGGCTTCACTTCCCTGCACCCAGGGGCCCTGGGGGAAGAGGGGAGGGGGTGCCCATGGGACCCCCGCA